GTATATCTTGCTTCCAGTCACAACTAAAATACATAAGACAATAGCAAAGGGTCAGACATTTATTACGCACCTAGTTACTAGGTACTTACTTACTTAATTTTAAAATTAGTGGAGTCAGTCAGCAGTCAGCAGTCTGATTAAGTTCAGCTAGCCATATAGGATGCCAATGACACATTTGTACTAATTAGGCAGATGGACATGGACAGTTTACATGTCGGAGCTATTTGCTGTCTGTCCGGCCTTGTCCTCATTCTAGCTTCGGCTTCGATTTCCTTTTATGTTTTTGATGATAATACCCGTTCCTATTTCAAACATAAACATCGAGCTCTGCTGCAGTATTTCATAACTTTGATAAAGCTGACGATACGTAATGCAACAAAATTAGAAAATGATAACAGACAACTTCATTGGCATCGCCCATGTTTTGCGGAAATTACGCTTCGTGCTACTAAACGGCGAAGATAACCGGTTTTTCCACCGTGATACATATTTAACTGCGATTAACTACTGTATTTCTAGGAATTTATTAGCGAGTGCCATAAAGCATTACAGCAAAGTAATAAAGAAGAAAAAAAATAAAGGCGGGGTTAGTGAGTGGCAAACTATGAAAACTATATAGTGCAATTAGACTGTAAACTTTTTCTTTTAACATTTTATTTCGTTAACCAATGTATACAACGATCATCTGATTTTATTTTCAAAGTATTGCGTCATATAAAGTATTTAACTATACTATGATCGATGGAACTGACTATTTAAATCAATTATAAAATACGCATTCAAAAGACACGATAATAAATTTCTTGGAGGTCGTAAAGTAATCTCATACAGTCTGAGAGCAGACCACACAGTTATCGGCGATAAAAAAACAAACAAGCCATTCATCGGGCGAGTTTGCTAATAATAATTTACCGATTTGTTAACCGGGAAGTGTCGGAACCCGTTCGTACCTACGGGAGTGTCGCAACTACTTGGCCGGCGAGATATGCTCGCAACCCCTTGTAACGCGGAAGTACAAAGTCCGTTCTTTGTCTGTTCTTTGACAACCAGTGTTATGTCCCACAGGTCGGTGTGATCCAAGGGTAATTTGATCATTCCCACACTACCGGTTCGGACGAGGACAATGCAAAATGCACAAACCTAAACCTAACCCTTCTTCCCTTAAACATCACTCAGGACTTTAAAGTTTTGTATTTAATTGCTTTTGTACTTTAAAAAAATTAATGTCCCAGAATAACAAAATGTATATTTTCCATTATAAACGTAAATTCAACGTGTATTTTATTTGACCATACCTATGATATTAAATTTGATCAACAATTTTCATGCACAAAAGTGTTTACAGTTACAAACACAAGAGTAAGTACTTTGTCATTCAACACTTGAGTCATGAGCACTTTCAAACGTGTCAAGGGTCAAAATGAAGATCATCCAATAACGATGACTAATGCGACCTTGGTCAATATGCAGCGTTAATTAGTAATAGTGGAACCATAACAGATTGCATTTGTAATCACTTTGTTTTTGAGATACGTAATTAGTAATCATTTCTTTAGTTCACAACCAACAATATCGTCGACCATTATGTATGTAGGTACGTCGTTAATTTGTGCCTGTGAATGAATTCTTATCTGTTTTAGGCGTGAGAAACGTAAACACATTAATAGACAGTAAACAAACAAACAAGCGCATTCACAAAACTTAATTTATATCATATTTAATGTTTACTTAATTGCAGTACAAATATTAACGTTGACGTCTGATACTAGCTATATAGGTATTGTGTTTGTATAAAACTACAATACTATGAATACACTTAACATAAAACTAATTTCTTGTACTTTTGTGTTCTACTTACACTATGTAAAGAATAAAATTTACCATCAAATTAGACTATTAATAGTGTCATTGGAATAACAGAGCATATGGGCAATAATTATTCGATGATAGGTGTCAAATCGTGTTTCGTGGCGGGGCATGTGTGTGTGCGGGATGGTTGAGGGGGCGAGGGGCGAAGGGCGAGTGTGTTCAGTTCAGGGGGTGGCAGCGAGGCGGCCAGGTGCGGCGTCGCGGGGCGCGTGCATAACGGTCGCGGCACGAGCGCGCCGCGCGACGTGCGCTATGGCGGAAATAGCGATGGACAGGGGCGCTGCGAGCAGGTGGTGCCCCGCCAAACCAGACTCCGAGCACAATTGCCGGTTAATACCACGCATACATTACTACATAAATTAAATCACTGCTTTATATATTTACTATGTACGATTAAGCTTATAAAGTGTACGTACTTTTATTATAACTGACGATAGATTATTCTTTTTTGTTATATGAATTAACATTAAAATAGCTTATAGAAACTTGATATCTAAAATATACTTAAAAAAGGTTTTCACATGATAAATACACAATACTAAAACTGTTGCTGGTGTAGATATCCTGTCCGATATAATCTAGAGAATGACTTCACTACTTGTGGAATATCTGATGTAATTTTTAGTTACCATATATATAACTAGCTATTCCCATGCGACTTCATCCGCATAAAACTGTAAAAATTTAATTTTATTGTTTACATTTGTTAAATTATCAATAGCAAATGTCAAAAAGTCATGACATGACAACGTTTTCTTGCTTTGTTTTTGAGATACTTTGAGATACTTTCTTGATGTTGGCAGCAACTTATGGCCTCTTTCCAACATTAGGGTTTTTATCCAAAATATTTATTCCCTAAGTTAAATGGCGTGAAAATATGTAGGCTAAGCGTGACGTAAGTGTAGGGCTTTTTATTAAACAAAAAACTATTCAAAAATGTGCTGTAATTGCGGACATCTTAGGCAACAAAGAAGTGTGTGTTTACGCTTTATTATAATAGTGTAGATATTTCTTACACGATCTCTATTCGCTTTCATTTTTTTTCCCGGGTATGTACTATGTAGTACTCCTCGGATATGAAATGTAAAACGTTTTAAGTAACCTAAATAGGTTCGTCTCAATAGATGTTAAGTTACCTATTGTTTATTTTGGGCTTTACGAACAACTGGTAACAGCATCAATTTTAGTCCCTTTCCCTTTCCTTAAGACGAAATGATGGGAAGGAAAAGTGGAGGAAACGGATAAAAAGAGGAAATATCCTCTCTATGTGCGTCTAGTTCTCCGTCGATTAATAGTAGACAACGTATCTGGAATTGCGGATGTCTATGGGCAGCGGTCGCTTTGCCATTTCAGCGGTTTCAGGTGACCGTTTGCTCGTTTGCGACGTTAATAAAATTAAAATAAATCTAGGACCAACAAATAAAATGATGGAATATTTATTGCATTTTTCATGTTAATAACTTAAAATAAATCAACTATCAATACCGGTTTTGATTTGATATATAAATATCCAATTATGAACTGATAGACCACAGATATGACAAATGATAACCTCTACAACAGTTTAAAAATTCAATAATTATAATTAACGTAACTAGT